ATTTTGCGTCTTTCCATCTTTCTTTTGATGGTAGATTAACATATCGATTAATTACATATTTAATATTTTATTAAAATTCAGGTAAAAATATAACAAAAAAAGAAGATAATTGATGCTAATGGAAACGAAAATTCAACTATCATACAAATTGATAAAAAAAAAAATATCAAGTCCAAAGCAAAATAAAAACTAAGAACTTATTTAATACCATTTGTAAGAACTCCTATAAGACCAAGACTTTCCTTTGCTTTTCAATGGTTTGTAGGGGATAAAAAAAAAAACAAATTCATTGGTTTGTAGGAATAAAATAATGAATCTGTTTCCTTACTCTTTTTTTTTTTTCCTTTTGTTCCTAAAGTGTAAATTAGATGTAGAATTAGAATTCAGCACGCACGTCGCCCCTTCGGCACAAAAACTGTTGATCATTCATTTCATTCTACCCACATCCATCATCTCTCATAATCGATCCGCTAAGAATTTGCTTCCTACAATCCCACTTATCAATTAAATCAAATATATACAATTTAAAAAAAAAAAAATTTGGTATCAGCACCATTTGTAAATTTCACAAGCTGTCTAATAATTTTTTTTCTTCAAGTTAAATGAATTTTTTGTTCTAATTAAATTAAAGAAATTAAAACTTCACATTTAATAGACTTTAGCTAACATTCTATTGCATTTATCGTCTATTCTTGATGCCCCATATTTCCTTCCTATTTCAATAGCAGGGCAATAGCTATGAGGTTTTTGAAAACTATTTTTTTTAAAAAAATATGAAAAAAATAGAGAAAGTTTTCACATGATTTAGTTTTCCTCTGTGACAACACCTATACCAATTCTATTTTTGTTCTAGAACCCAACCAAGTCATACAAGAGGTTAAATGAGTTAGTGTGTGATCGTTAATCATTGAGAATTCAGACTTTTTTAACAGCAAATGATCTAAAGTACAAGGTTCTGTCTTATTCTCTTTCTCCCTTTTCTTTTTTTCTTTTCTTTCTTTGACGAAAATAAAGTTTTTCCTTACAACTCCATTATGGGCTCTTCGACATGAACCATAATCCATTTTTTGAGTTAAAAATTTGCTGGCCATTTTTTTAAAGCTTATGAACTCATTTTCATGATTCACTCTTTCATTTCATCATCGTTGGCATATTTAGGAGGGGCCAATATTATTTTTTGAGAAGTTATGCATCGTCCAAGTCCAATGTAGCCATTCCTCTATGGAAATTCATTATCACCTTTGTGTTTTGAGTTTCATGTCCCATCTGAAATGAATTCTTATTCTCTCTTTTCACGAAGCATATGCTTCTGGAAATCTGTGTGTTTTACTACATAATCACCTTCTGATTGATTTATTATCTCAGAATTCATTCAATCTTCAGGAACGAGGAATCAGCTAAAGAATTTCCTATCTGGTCTAACATGCCAACCAACTTCCCCTTGCAGATTTTTTTCGACTCATTTGGACACTTGCGAAAAATGAACTCCCAACAGATTCTTGGTGACAGATCTCAACTTACACTTATTTTCATGCCTGGCATTATTAATCTAGATGGCGAAAACTTGTCTACACTAATTATTGATTCCATATTGGAGGTGAACGATGAACATCTTATTTGTGCGGCCAAATGGTAGTCTTAGATAAACATATTTGCTGGCCATTTTTACATGCTTACTCGATTTGGATTGTCATTTTTTAAGCTAGCTACAAAAGAAGGTTTCTTTTTTTTTTTTTTCTTTTTTTTTGTTGTGGCCAATGATCATGACTATATACATGTTCCCAAAATTGAAATATCTAGGGCTGCCATGGCCATATCAGACAACATCCAGAGGCCTAATAGTGGTTTCAGAGCACTTTCCATATTTTACCTCTTTTTTTTTTTTTGTCGTTTCATCTTACTTTTTAGAAAATTACTAGTTGCCAACCGTGCAATGTACGAGCCATGTAATGAAAACCCCATTGAATTATGAATCAATTTAAAATGATATTAGCAATACATTAACAACCCAAGATTAAAGAATCGAAACAAGAAAATCCCAGAAAATTTCATTCAAAATGTTGAGTTTTTTATGATGATACCCAAAATGGTTAAATTGCTTAGTTTGATCTAAAAATAAAATTGTTGTCCCCTTTCAGGATTTCTTTTTATCCACACTTACCAGAATTTAGGCTTCTCGCAGATTTTTGCCACGGTGAGTGTGATGGATAGAATCCTCAATGTCTCTGCAGTTTGTCACTTCCGGCGCTCAGCCTGCTCCAACAAAATTTGTTCGAGTTCTTTGGGCACTTCCGAAATCAAAAAAAAAAAAAAAGAATGAACTCCCAGAATCTTGGTGAGAGATCTCAACTTAAGCTTTTTTTCATGCCTGGTATTAATGTAGGTGGTGAAATTTTGACTACACTTATTATTGATCCATTATTGGAGGTGAATAACGAACATCATATTCATGCAGCCAAAAGGTAGTCTTAGATAAACATATTTGCTGGCCATTTTTACATTGCTTACTGGATTTGGATTGTCACGTTTTAAGCTAGCTACAAGAGAAAGTGATAGTACTTTTTTTTTTGGCTATTGATAATGAGTATAGGTGCCCAAGCTTGTAACATCTAGGGCAGCCATGGCCATCTGAGACAACATCCAAAGGCCTAAGAACTGCTTTGAGAGCAATTTCCATATTTTACTTCTTCTTTCTTTTTTTCATCTTTCCTTTTCAAAAACTATTAGTTGCCAACCGTGCAATGTCTGATCTAATTTATTTACTGTGACAAAACATGATCATTGTTTAAAGCCATCAAATGCCCAGGGATCTTATGTTATCCCCGGCATCATAGTATCCTCTAACTAAATCTACCAGCAAAAAGGCACCATATTGTTTTTGTTAATACAATTACATTGGTGGTGGACCAGAATTGACGATTTGATGGAGAATATATAGCAAACATGCAAAATTGTTGTTGAAGATAATGTTAGTGGTGGTTCAGGATTGGAGAGTTGGAAGAATATGAATGTATGTATATGTCTGTACAAAACTTGCACAGGCACTACTTGACTTCAATTCAAATCGACAAGACCATTTAATGAATCTATAAATAGAACTTGCAATTTTTGTACTATTAATTACATTTTTTTAATGAAGCTATACTACACAAGTTTAGCATATTACTCATACAATTCCATTTCAATTGAATAAATAGTCATTTTTTCCTAAAATATTCTATTAATTTTTATATTCTGTGCATTTAAATTCGATTTAGATCATAATAATATTCATATAAACATGGGGTTGTAAAAGTTCTGCTAAATTACTTTTCTTAGTTTTTAATAATTAGAGCAAATAATAAGTTCTATTAGTTTGGTTTAAAATTTTTTTTGGGCGTGATTAAATTAAATATTCAATTAAACTTATTTTCTAATATATCTCCTTGACTTATATGTTGACTTGCCACCATTAATTAGAGTAAAAATAATTGAATTACAGGATGAGATTCAATTGAAACTAGTTATTAAGTTTTTATAAATTGACCATTTTTAATATGTTTAATTTTAATGTTTGTCTTTCAATCAGTATACGAAATTTTATAAAATAGCATTTTAATTTTTTTTATAACATTTTTGTTCAAAAAAATTAAAGTTATAGAACATAGAAAAGTGCCCATGCAAATGCACACGAAAGAAACTAGTATAAAAGAGAAAATAGAGTCATAGCCAAGAGTAGCTGCAAGAAAATTTGTAAACTTTTAGTTTTTTGATTAAGCTTCAAATTTTTTACCAGTTCCCTAATGTTTATGCTCGAAGGCTCCTATCAGTAATATTCTTTAGTTTACTAACTTATCACGGAAAAATTTTGGAAGAATTCACTATAATAATTATGAAGAATTTTCTCCTCCTTCTTGGGTATTTTACACCCACAAAAGCAGTGACATCCTCAAATTATGTCGTGCAGTTCCCGTGCATGGAAGCTTTTTAGTTCTCAAGATTTAGCATCCAGAAAACGACTTAGCACATTTTTAAAATCTAATATTAAGAAAAAAAATTAAATCTAGGAATTTGCGGTTCCTTGAACTAGTGTTTGGGAGAATTCTGAAAATGAGACAAGTATCTAAGAGTACAAAAAAGAAAAAAAGAAAATTGACCGACATAATTAAAAATATTCAATGGCAACTAAAAAAATATAAAACTGTGCTGATCAGTTACTATCATCATGAAGAAGTGCCACGTTACAATTTATAGGCCACATATCATGCTCAATTATATGCCTCATGTTATAATTATTGCATACTTATTATCTTTAATCATCTTTGCATATTCATTATCATCAATTGCAGGACTAAACATAATAATTTGCTTAACAACAATTCTGTTTTTCTTTTGGTTTTTTCTTCACTGAAATTCTGAATATGTCAACACCATATTTCCTGTACAATTTTGTGACTCTTGCGAATCTTAATACTTATCAAGAATAGTCTAATAATATGCAGATACGCGGTGGCTAGGACAAATGTGTGAAGAAAACGATGATATTAATTTGGATTAATATTATATACAATGTTAGTATAAAGATTTGTTATACTAACAGGTGTATATATATGACACATAGATAAAAAGTAAATTTAAATATTAAATGGTGATGGTGTGGCGTTCATTTAAACTTTTTTGTATTAAAAAAAAAAAAGAGTTCTGTCTAACAGGTGTCGATTGGGCACTCGTTAAAATGTACATCAGGTTTTAGATTTTTGGAAAGGTAAGATTAATTAAAGAGAGTGTATAAATCTAAGAATATTTACTAATTGTTAATGTGTATATATACATGGTAGATTAGATGAAACATAGACGCGTGAACTAAGATTTTTTAATAATAATAAAACATGAAAATGAACTCACGGACCAAAATCAAATAAACATCAATATCATTTTTTGCTCTTTTATCTTTCTTTTCGATAAATATACTTGCCAACACGTAGGATGCACGAAACAAATTACTATGGTAAACACCTTCATTTGATTCAACAATCTCGCAACAAGGCTATATACACACATTGAGGTGACTTATCTGTTTTCTAAAAAATTATATAATAACTAGTATAACAAATATACAGCAAGCCCAATTGCACTGACTCCAAGCCCCTTATCAATATAGCTTCAATCACAAAACCTCATCAAACATGCTTAGCAAACTTAATATAAGATCTAAACTTCAATTAAAAAGCTACAACTAGTTCCATGCCAAAAAAAAAAAAAAAAAATTTAAGTCTGCGCCGGAGAAATTAACAAGAAATACTAGTACTAGTCCTAATCATCAAAATCAACCAAAAAGAAAAGGTAGTCCTCCTGCAGAGCCCAAGCAACAACTGCCAAATATTCAAAGTACAACTATCCATTTTAAAGACAACTGCATTAGACCCTAGACCCTGTAACACCTGCGGTACCTTTGGGCTCAGTTCCAGGTGCACCAAGACCATAGTCAGGGTCCCTGTACCCTGGACCATATCTGCTGCTGAACATCCCAGCATGGATCAGCAGCACATAGAGCAATTGAGTCACTCCTAGCGCTATTATGAACCCCTCAAGAACCTTTAACCTCCATCCCCTCCGGCCTCCAACATTTATCTCCTTGCATGCCAATCTGCATTATTTCACAACCCCACGGTGCAAAAAAGATGAAGTTATACCCTGGAGTTCATAAGATTGGAGAAAATTGAGTATGTTATATTGTATATTATACCCGAAAGCTAGAATAGTTACGGCCCATGCGACTAAGGAAGATGCTCCAGCAGCCGCTAGACTGTCGCTTCTCCAAGCCCTTAAATGGTTTCCACCTGCTAACTTCGAAGCAATCCCCAGAACGGAAGCTAGTATGGCGAATGTCAGGAAGAACGGGGTTGCTCCGTTTCCTCCAAAGCCTGAAACATACGTGACAAAGGATATCGTGGTTTTAGATGATTAACCATGCAGCCCACCTATCATTTAAAGTTTTGAAACATAATTTTGCATTTCGACCATCTGGAGATATGTATTTTGAGCTCCTAGTGGTGCATGTAACTTAAAAAACCAAAAAAAAAGGAAGCATGAAAAAGTCCCTAATGAAATACTGCTTTCTTGCAGTGCTTAAAACAAAGCTTGAGAAACAGTCCCAAACGGAATAATGCTTTCTTCAGTAATTTCGGTTATTTCAACTGTCTCCATATAGTAGGAAAACTGAAAATTGTTTTGGATCCAGAACCACAAAGTTTATTACTATTTGTGAAAAAAATGTACAAAACCAGCTAAACATGCTTTTGTGTACATGAGAGACTAAGCTAAAAGAATGAACACCTTGCTTACAATAATGTTTTTTGTTGTGTACATGCATGAATAGGAGGAGGAGGATGGGAAAGAATGGAATAGAGGGCTTACTGGGATGGTTAGTCTGCCCATTGATGTAATGATTGAGGCCCCAACTCGCAAAGCCTAAAACGATGAAATACATAATCAGGTTCAGAAACAGTAATGGAGCAGCCAAGCTTCTTCCAACCGTTCTAGCCATGTCTTCTTCTTGGTTCTTTGTTGATCTTCACTTCAGCAATGCAAAACCAACGGGCAACAGCACACTAATTTGTCAAGAACTAGGCAAAAATAAAAAAACAGATTGATGGTTCTTTGTTTGGTTATCTTGAAAGTGTAAAGCTTTGGGAAAACAAATGTGGAAAACGGTGAGGGCTATATAGAAAGGAAATGGACCAGTTTGGGATCGAGTGCGTGTCATGCTTGTTGGTTTCGAGTGTGTACAGGTGTAGACTGCAGGGACACTTGTCAAATTCTGTGCTAGTATTGAGACCATCAAGATGCAAAGATTGCAATTTTCATCTTCTTTTTCTGATGTTGAAATCTCCAATCCTTTGAACCAACGGTGCATAAAACTAGATCATATAATAGTAATAGAAGAACTGCACTACCATGACACTTTAAAATCTCGCAATTCATATAATGGTAATGTAAACTCAAGCTAATGAATCAATTAGGAAACCTATAGAAAAAAGACTTTTTTTTTATTAATTCAATTTTTCATAGAACAAATCTAAACCATATCTGGATCCATTTGGTTCTTTCCTAAGTTGAACTAGTCTAAGGTTCATTTGAGTCTAACGTCAAACAGAACCAACTAAAAACGTAGAGCCATATGGGCCATATTACCACTATGGTTAAAAAAGATTAAAGGAGCAGTTGCATGGCTAGTGATGATGTCTTGAAACTAAGTGATATACATCAACTTTGATGTCAAAAGTGAACAGAATGAGCACTTTGGCATTTGATTGAGACTTGTATTTTATCCACTAAGCATTCGTCACCTAAAGGGTCCTTTCTCCCCCTTTGCCTTCAATAATCATCTTCATCCTGAAAGAAAGGTTTTTTTCTTTTAATAAACCAAAAGGGAAAATTTGTAAAAGGGAAAATCCTTCAAAATATTACTCACATTTCATGAAATAAAGTTTTTTGTTCTTCACTTTTAAAATGATAACTTTACGTACTATACAAATCTAAGTTAGCAAAATTTGATCATAACCTAAATTTTAAACTACTTTTTTATATGTAATCATTTTTTTAAGTACAAAAAGGTCATATTCAACTTTTTTTTAATAGTAAAAACGAATACAGATTAGATTACATTTCACTTTTTTCGGAGAAAAAATGAATATGTTCGGCTCAAGTTTTAATTTTTCAAGAATAAAAATTAATATGAATCGAATCATTTATTTAACTACAATAGAGATCTAACCTTTATACCTCCAAGAAATGTCTATATGAGAGATTCAAGATGAAAAATGGTTGAAAACATAAGTTATGAATCAATTTTACCACTTTAATTTTATAAAAAACATAAAATTATATATTTTAAAAGTGACGGACGATAAAATTTATTTGACTAAATATAAGTGATGCATTGAAGAATTTTTTCTTTCTAAAACATTCCGGCGATAAGTTTGAAAACTGGGCCAATGGATGATGCAAAACCGCGGGCTAGAGGGCCGTGGATTGTTCTGGAGAGGGTGAAAGACGTATTGGATTGACAATTCGTCTCGACTGTCCGCTAAAGTGTTAAACAACGTATTGGATTGGTCCACATAATGATGCCTAAGCAGACCGAACTTTATTAACTCATCATCATGCTGATAATCTTTGCAGATGTCATGTCCTAAAAGTATATAAAATATAGATTAATCTTTCCTGTATTCACTCATAATAATGTACGTACAGTCAGTATTGAATAAATGATATCTGTACAAAATTTAAATTTAAAATTTAACTATTACACACATATTATGAATTTAATTATAATAGTGTATACACTGTCATCGTATATAAAATTTACTTATAAAATATAACGAAAAGATGTAGCCGAGCGCCTAAATACATTTTCATCAACTCAAATGTGTAATTGGTTAAAATCAATGGCATTTTCGTCAACTCAAATATTTTAACAGCCAACTGGATACCTTAGGGATTAAATTAGCCGCGAAACTTACTCCCTCCTAATCATCCTATTTATTTCTGTGTAAGTCCTTTTCTTCTTTTTTTTTCCCTCATTCTTTCAGGGTTTTCATGCGTGTTATTATTTCATTTGGTTTGTTCATTATTTGTAAAGAATTATTTATTTGTACAATGAACAAATTTTTTAATAATCTTTTTATTTTCACAATTTTCATTTAATGTTACGTGCATATCATATTATAGAACGTGGTATAATATTATTTTAAGAAAATACTATTCAAATAATCCTCTATCCAAAGATGCTTTCTTTCTTTCTTTATTGAATCAAGATGTAGACGATAGCATGGAGGTCAATACCCTTACATGTAAACTTGGCACCAGGATATACCCTGCACTTAAATTAAACACTAAGCAAGAAAAATTTATTATCCATGTTGGACTAATTAATGAGTTTAAGGATAAGAAAACAGCCAGTAACATCATCTTCATTACATATTCCACTGAAGTCTCTTCTCATCATTTAAGGGATTGTAAGCAAGAATACTTCAGAAAGAGTTTCTCAACTGTATCAAGCATAGGAACTTGAAAAAATGTATTAAAAAAAAACCCAAATATTGATAAAATTGAATATTAGCAATCCCTTGTAATTAAGTTTCCTGGCTACTAGTGTTGTTGATGCATCTCTGCAGCTGCATTTGGGTTGGGTGAAACCAGGCTTTGGACAAAAATTCTAGGAACAGTATGATTACCAGACCATGGGAGAAGCCTGAAGGAGTCATCTTTTGGATCATAGAGTCTGAGTTCATCTTTAAGCTCCACCAAAAATCTATCACTGCCTGGAATGCACAGTGCTCTAAACACAAGTCTTGTCTTGTCAACCGGGACACTAAGGACCTTAGTCCAAGATTCTCCAACCCCATATTCCTTCATAACCCACAACTCTACAAAATGATCCCTATAATTCTTACAAACGAAACAAAGACTCCCTCCAAAAGTTCCCAAATCAGATCGAAAACCATTACGGCCTGATATCCCTGTCCCTCCATTTGTTTTTAGTGCCAAGTCAAGAGAACCGAACGTCTCTGTTGCTAAATCAAGAAAAACAACCTTGAAATCCCAGCCTGCATTATGCAATTCCCAGTGGAGCCTCCCATTGACGAGACAGCCGCAGCCCCCCACACTAGGGAAACCACCTTGAAACTCCCCAATGCTCTTCCAGGATTCAGTCTTTACGCTATAAACTATAACTTCAGACCCTGAGGGACGATAGTCTTCATCTAAGGAGCAGACAACTTTCACCACTTTATAATCATCACGATCCTTATCATATCCGAAACCACATACTTGGTAGTAATCTTCCTCCTTCAGTAGGTCCACTGTTGGGCTACTAAAACTGGGCAATTTCTTGGATTTTCTAGTAGATGGGTTCCACAAGAACACACCTGTTCTCATGCAATCAATGCAAAATAGCCCATCACAGCATCCCACAACGTTAAAGTACCTACTCAGTTGAAGACTAGGTGGACAATCAATTTCAACCTCAGCTGCATTTGCAGGCTGCCGTTCATGCAACAAAGAGGCAAGAGAGCAATCTTTGAGATAACAATCTGTGAGATCAATTCCCACAGTGAGCAGCTGTAGTTGTTCTCCATCCTCTGATGAGCTGAAAGCACAGAGGTGATCTTTGATGAATTGAGAGCTTGAGATTAGGGACAGCCACGATTTCGAAACGCATTTGAATTTCAAAAGGGATTTGACTGGTAGCCTTAGGAGGATCTCAGTGATTACTTCAAAGGGGAGGTCAGGCAATATTAAGGGTTGGTTTGAATCTTCGGATTGGTGGGGATTGGTGGCTCCATTTCCTTTGCTTTCCATCTGGAGGTTTGTGCTGCTGCAAAGGAAGGAAGAACTTATAAATTTACTCGTTGCATTCATCTACAGAAACTAAATTCAGCTTATATTATTGTTTGTATCATCAGTATACACCGCGTTGAAAACTATAACTGGAATTCGTCAGAGTCCTGCACTTGAGCTGGCTCTTTATGTTGAAGTATTGAACACGTCAAACTAAAGACTCAATCTTCATACAAGGGGAGACTCTTTATGTTGAACAATTCTACGACGTGTAACTTTGATTATGATAACGTCAATCTGACTTTCATAGTTAAAAAAAACCATGACATAACTAAATCTTATGAAGCGTGATGGTTAGACACAGGATCTGATAGAAACGTGGCCTTGTTTGGAAAGTAATTTTTCTCCCAAAAATTTGTATATTTTCTATAAACGCATTTTCTAATCATCTTTTTACTTCACAAATCGCTACAGTATATTTTTCTGTAAAAATTTCAAAATATAACAATTCAAACGGCCTCATTGGTACAAAATATTAATTGATATTGAGTGCGTTTGAGTTGCTGAATTATCCTAAATAATATGAATAAATCTTTTCTACACTGACGGTATATACACTATCATCGTTGTATTCATAACATATGTGTAAAAGTTGAATTTCAAATTCAAATTTTGCATAGTTGTCAATCATCCAACGCTGATAGTGTATACACTGTCAGTGTAGGAAAGATTAATCCAAATAAATATTTCACTTGTATCATAAATACATTTCTCAATTCACCATTTTATATTTTCAACCACATTATTATTCCGTACGCAAAGACAAGTCATAAATATACAAAGAAACTTTTTTTTTTTTTTGCATTAAACGCTGATGAATATTATTCCATACGCATCATCCATCCATTTTCGACTGGCAAAATTAGCGAGGCTTGTGGAATTAACGAGGCCATTTCAACCTTACTGGTCATTCAAGAATTTGTTTGTAATACTAATACGAATCAAATCTGAAATCAATATATAATTAAAGTACTTAAAACGTGGCTCATCACCGCATGGGATACCATCTCATACCACAGATACTTCATCGCACCAATACAAAAGCAACTGCAACATGTGATACCATCCTAGGTGGGTACATAGAAGGTAACATTCACGGGATATTCAGAAACAGTTTGAAGAAGAAATTTTTGTCTAGTGCTCAAAATGTCCTTTCTTGAAAGTAGCAGAAACATTACTGCACATGCAGTCTCTATATACTTAGAAAGATAAAGTTATTGCAGCATGATTTCGAAGATTAAGAATGTAATCATCCAGCCTTACGTTGATCTGTTATCGAATCTATGAAATATTAGATAATTGATGGAGATGAGGGAAAATAAGAACACTGAAGAGAGGATGCTGCAGGATTGAACTGGTTTTTTCAACTTTCAACATTCAAGAACTGAGAAAACAATTCAGTGCCACTCTTTTGACTCAAAAGTCTAAAACATACATGATACGCAGTGTATAGCCGTGGAAAAGGTAGGAAAAGTCTTGATGGTATCAGCTGCAAGGAGCAATGGTGAGAGAGAAGAATCAAAAGGAAAAAGACCACATCGGAATAACTAGAAAAGTTGAGATAAACCAATACAGTAACGACGATACTACTACCAAACAAGGAGTTCATTACTCAAACACAACTTGTACAATACACTGTTGTAGGTGTTTTAAGTCTGATACATCATTAAGCAAATTAGGCAAAAGATAAGCAGGTGGGCATGCAAAAGTGACACAAACTTCATCAAAGGATCAACCTACCAAGAGCATGCTATGACAAAACATCAGCTACCCAATTACATTCTCCATGCTTAAATTTCA